CTTCAGGGAGAAGAGCAGAGCATGTGATAAGCTGCTAATGGAGCTGTGCTTCGCAAGCTCTAGCCAAAGGACAAATGAGCAACACAGAGAGCCCTTGGTTGCCAGGAGCTACTGAACCCATACTAGAGGCCTGGGTGGAGAATTGGCAGGATGGGACTCAGCAACAGCAGGAGCCACACATTTTCTGGGGTCCTGTTCTTTGCCTGTGCGTACGCCCACCACTGAGAGCACAGCAGTCGCCCATGGGGTCACGTTCCCCCATTGCCACCCTGGCCTCTGCCTCTCAAACGTCCCCTCCATTCCACTCCACTACAGCATCAGCATCCCTGCCTCCTCCACAAGCATGCTCCGGTGGTCCTCCCTCTGTCCTGCCTCTCAGAAGCGGAGGGGTTGGCAGGAAATCTGTGATACCCAGTTTGAGTGCTGCTGCTATGAAGAGGAATAGTGAACTCTTACTTAGTCCCTAGACCAAGAGCAGAAGATGGAAGGTGACTCAAGAAACACTTAGTGGGAAAAATAACGGACAAGCTATCGCTGAACAACTTTCTGGCACTAACCCTTAGCTAGACTAAAATCCCTTCAGATGTGCATAACAAATAATTTCACTGTGGGAAATTAACGAGAGTTTAAATGTGCACCTCAGATATTTGGCATTCATCTCCCTCTGATTTCTGCATATCGGTAAGCCTTCAGCAACGAGGGGAACTATGATTATCTGCATTTTTCTGCATTGCTGGGGCAGTAGAGGGAGTGGGGGGCATGAGTTGAAGGCTCTGAAATTTCAGGGTCACTCGTTATGTTGAAAACCAAAATTGTCGTAATTTCATAATTAAAAGAGCTTGCTTTGGATTTATTTTTTATTTTCCCCGCTCCCCTACTGGATAGTTCAGCAGACACAAGCCAGAAGAGCTGGTGACTACAAGTGTAGTTGAGCACTTGCTCATTAAAAGAATCAACCCTACCACATCTTTCATATATCACCATCTGCCAACTCCCATGGGAAGCTGCCCAACAAGACCATCACTCTCACTGTCTGCAGCATCTCCCAAGATTTCAACACCTTTCTGTACATTCATCCTTGACCTGAAGTGCCCAGTATGGGAACACCCCTCCAATCTTACCTTCCCGTCTCTTTCCCCACTTAGAAAAGTCTGGTCAGGCAACACTTTCTTCACAACACGATGAAGAAAACCTGTGAGTTTGACTAATTGAAAGAACACACTCAAATACACTAGAAGAAGTACTGCTCAGAACAAAACATCTCAGTTTTTAGATTTAAAATGTGGAGAACTGAGAAAATGGGACTTAGACTGGTAGAGGAAACTGGTAGTTAAAAGGACCCTGATAACTGGGGGGCAAAAAACAAGAGTAATTAAGATACTGCCAAAGTCACTGTTTCCATTTGATAGTTTTCAGTGCTCAACATGAAGGGACAATTGGTTTATAGACACTGTAACTTACATTTTAGCAGAGACCATCAATTCAGATTAGTCTGGAAGCTTAAATCAGCTCCTCATTTCCAAATAGAAATAGAAATGAAAAACTGTTATTGGTAAATGGCACCATATGAACAGTAATAGGAATAATAATAGGGATTTTTTTTTCCACTTTTCTGCCATAAGGTACACATGCTAATTATCACAGAATCAGGTGATAACCCTAATCAGGTTCATGCCCTATCAGACTAGGCACATAAGATATGCAGCAGTTTGCTTAGACTGTTCACATGCTTTAGCAAATTTTAACAGATAAATGAAATAAATGTGCATGTGGAGAACAATAGGCCATGTAAATAATCTATAGAAATCAGTGTTTATTTTTTTCTGCTGTCTCTTATCTTTATTAATGTCATAGTGTGTATGGATGGCTTTCTCAACCACACCAACAAGGTCTCTGATTCCAATATCTCCTTAAAGCTGCCTCTTCTTCAGCATCTATTCCATTTGCACATCTGTACCCTAAGACAACTGCCTCCTTTTTTCTCAGGCAGGCAACACAATTATTTCTGAGATCTGAAATATACTAACATAATACACATATATACAGAGAAAGAAAAGATGCATTAAGCTATTTTGTAAGGGGCCAAGGGAGTTTTTGGGCAATTACTCATCATAAGGAGTAAGTTATATGGTGAATAGATTAGATAAAATTAGTAGTTGTCAACCCAGTACTGCCTGATGACAGAAACTGCAGCTTTATCTCTCTCCTATCCATGCCTCCCACATATCATGTGCCTCAATAGGATGCTATGGACAGAACACAAAAAAAAAAGCCTCAAGCCATCAAAAAAATAATGGAAAAATTCCTGCCAGATTTGGCCAAAAAGATTTTGCTTGGTTGCAGGTCATAATTATGTACTATCCTACACTAGCACAGCACTTGAGGAATGGGAAAACCCATGCTGTAACCACGTGCCCTGCCAGGCTTAAAAACGCCTCCTTACCTCCAGACACGTGTTCTTTGCATGTTGGAAAAACTAGCAAGACCTATAAATTAAAGAGAACAGACAACTGACTCAGGGAAGGGACTGGTCAGTCAAGATCTGGCTATGTTAAATTTGGCTGTATTAAATGTCACAGAAGCATGGACTTTGAGAAAACACCAAAAACACCTTTGCCAAATGTTTGGAGGAGAAAGATATTGCTTTTTAGGCTACATGGTCCTGTAATACAGTATCTGATACACCAATCTATGTCCACAATATCCAAAGCTAGCAGCACGATGCTGATTGTCCCAGTCATCTTTGTGGGAAAAATCTGTTGGATAAAACTGCTTTTCCCAATTCTCCACATTCCTCCAGCTAAGTTCTTGCACAGAGGTTTTAGTTTCAGTCACAAGAGCATGAGGAATGAATGAGAAAGGACCCTGAATGGCAGAACAGTCAATTCAAAACAAGCCCAAGGGCCAGCACGTGATGACACCGCATAGGTCATTTCCACATACATAATAAAAACTGCTTATGAAGCATTTAGGAGAATAGTAAAAATGAACAAAAATGTTTTCTATCAGATCACAATGAAAAAAAGTCTCGAGGAGATTTACCAAATCGTGCAAAACATTCCAGCATTGCTGGTTTGCATTAAAAGGAAGAACGAGAGCACATCAAAGCTTGACTTTGCCTGAGCAAGGAATTATTCTTCTGGCCCTCAAAAGACTAGCTGACTTGGAAATTGGAATGAACTGAGCCTTGACCCACATTTGTAAAGATAATACAGAGCCGAATCACAGGACACGCTCAGTGGGGAAGTCTAGATACTGCTGATAGGAGTTTTCCCACCTGTATTTCGAGGGTACAGCTGTAGGCACTGAACTCGCATAATTCATGAGCTGTGCTTCCACAGTCTCACAGGGCTTTCAAGAGCTTGTCACATTCTTTTCAAGTGGATCATTAAGGGTGGTGTACCTAAATGGATGGGTGGAGGAAATTTATCTGAACAGGAGATTAGAAGTGATTCAATTTTGGGAGATAACCTGACTTTTTGTCTTGGTAAGACTATAGTTCAACCATGTGAGTTGACACCAGCATCTGGGGCTACTCAGCAGTTTCAGATACTGTTGTGCAGATGAAAAAGAATAGCATTATAAAGCTTCTCTTTGTGAACCATAAACGTATAATTCTGACATGATGATTGGTGATGTAATCAACGTTTTCATGAGGAGGTTAGGCTTGACAAGGCAAACTAAAGGTTTTTACAATGAACTTCTTGAATTCCCCTCGCTTGAAGAGTTCATTGCTGACAATTGGTGGGACTGTGCCGAAGACAAGAGGAATGGAAAATGATGCTGAGATCGTTTTACAATGGCTCAGGAATCTTCTCTAGTCTCTGTAAAACACACTGCAAGTAGACACAAAAGACCTGGGAAGAACAGGAATAGCGATGATGGTCTTCAGTGCAATCTACCTTCCTCAGAAGAAAACTTGAGAGGGAAGCCAGTCCTGAAACTTTCCATTCCAAAGCTTTAACTATTAAAATGACTAAATTAGTTGTGAGAAAGCAGTAAGCTCATTCCACACCTTCTATAGAAATGCAAAGCAGAGGATAAACAAAATTTCCTACTTCTTTAGGCGTCTCTGCCATTGCCTGGACGAGCGGAGCTGTCAGAATTGTTTGGAGAACACTGACTGACCAGGAAAGGAAAGTGTCGTATTGACGTAAACAGCAGAGACCGTGGTGCTTGTTATACTGGAGCTCTAAAAACAGCACTTCTTGTGCTTTCCTCATTCTCCGTTTTGCAGTTGCTTTTGTTATTTATTTTTAAATACCCTTCTGACTAACCATCCTCCAGAAGAAGAGGGAAAAAAAAAAGAAAACGCAAGAACTAGGAGAGACCAGAGAAGGAGAGCTGAGCCATCAATTCCTCTGGGCCAAACCCTTAGGTCCAATTCCTCCTGTGCTACTGCCAGCCACTTACATCATTCACAGCAAAAAATTTAGCAGTCCAAACTGGTGTGTTCAAGACTTGCACGAATAGCACTTATTTCCGACTCATCCTAAAAGCTAAACAGAACATACTTTTTGTATCTGTGTAGATGCAAAACATTATTTCAAAAGAGTAGCTTTCAAGCAAGCAATAAGCCATTTAAAGATGCAAATCCTACGACTCGCTACATTAAAAGTTTCTGCACAAAATCCTCTTGAACCCCGGAAAATCTGTTCATTAAAAAGGTGCACGCTGTTCTAATATATATCCTATGTCAGCACAAACAGCCTTCATGTAAACAGCCAGCCATGGGTACCATGAGTAACAACTCTGTTTCCATCAGAAGCCCTTTATCCTGCGTAAGAGGTCTGCACGCTAATAGATGTCCTCAGCTAACGTTAACTAGCTACAGCTGGCTCGCAGCTATAAAAAGCATTAATGAAAACATAAATACTAACTTCTCCGCTTCCCTCAGCCCGTACGTCAAGGCTGCGCAAAGGCACCACTTTCCAAGTGGTCTGTGTGAATGAACCGGCTGCTCCGAACCAGCTCGCTCTGGTTCTCCAAAGTTTGTTTACCGAACAGCGTGTGCAGAGACACACTGAGCACGGGGGACACGGGGGGGAGAGACGAACCACGTGGCCCCTCGGCTCACCCGGCCAACCCTCCCGCAACCCGGCGGCTTCCAGCGCCGGCTCCCAACAAGGGAGGAAATATCGGTTCGCCGAGGGGCTGTCCTACGGGCATAAAAACGTCAGTCCGCACTGCAGCCGAACGCGGCCCCGTTCTTACAATCCGTGACTGCCTTTTGCTGTAATATTGCTCTGCTTTGCCGTACTGCTGCTACGAATCCGGTCGTCATAAACAATGCACGCGGTGACACACACGGAGCAGAGAAACGACGCTTCGTTCTTCAGAGTTCTGTGCGCTCTCAGAACTTACTACGGGATTTATATTTTCATTGTGCCGAATACTAAAAAAAAAAAAAAGGCAGAAAAAAAAAGAAAGAGACTCAGATTTATCCAGTACGTGTACAGAAAAGGAAAAAAAAAAAAAATAACAGAAAAGAGGATGCATGCAACGCCAGGGTTACAAATTCAGACAGAAACATGAGGATACCGAAGTGCCACAACAGTCAGCAATTTTTATTCAACCATGCTGCACACACACGCGTTCTTCATTATTCTTTGACTACTGGACTGTTTATCTGCTGTTTTAAGACAGTTTAGTCCCCAAACCAGTTACTTTGTCACTGTTTGTTTCTGTGCATTTCTTCAGCAGGTGACCTCAGACAAACCCTTCAGGTCTTTGCTGGGAGGCCAGGCATGCTGGCTTGCTGTCCCCTCCGCTAGGCTAATCGCAAGTCCTTCTAGTCCTCTCTGCTGCTTCCTAACTATTGTCACAAGCTGGCGTCATCTGAACGTTAGCCCACCTCACAGGAGAAAGGGGAGCCTTCTTTTAGAAGCACATAAAGCATATAACAGTACTGCCCGTTTTCAGATTTATTTTCCATTTCAAAATACTGGATGCGTATCTTAAAACCTCAGCTTCTGGAGTCCTACCAGTTAGTAAGAATCATACCCAGCTGTTTTTCTTTTTCATTTTTATAGAGGAAATCCTTTACACGAGGCTGATGAAATTTTGAGTTCTTCACCCAAAAAGATTAGAAACACTCAAAAGTACATTAAAAAAATATTTCCAAATATCATGATTCTTCATTCTCATGATTTTGTCCAATGTATTAATTTTTTTTTTAATTTCCTCTGATTTGCACTACCTAAACAGCAACTGCAGCCATGCTGGTCACCTCCAAATCCATCTTCTACCTATTTAACATGGATCAAACGCAGGTTAGAATATAATCTATTTGGCTATGCAGGAGCTTCCTACATCTAACATACAGATGTTATCCAACATGGTGCAACCCTTTGCAAGCATTTAAAAATAAATTAGCCGATTGCACTTTGTTGACTTGCTGAAGTTACAGGCTTCGAATTAGAGGTGGTACCTCTTTTTGCTTTGAGTTTTCCCCCTTCTACTTGGTGCGTATAACCTGATTTCCAACTCACTTCTTACACATCCATGACCTTAGCAGAGTCCCTCCCCACTTACACTACTGAAGTGCAAACAGTCTGAGAGCAATTGATTTTCCTGGCTGTTGAGGCATCCACTTCAAATGCCTGTTTTCTTCAGGATGTTATTGCTACGATTCTCCCCTAAACCCTGGCAGTTCAAATACGGATGATGACTCAGATACACAGAAGCACCAAGGTATAGATGAGATCCTATCGCAGATATTTTTAATCACAACTAAACAGCACAGGCTGCAGCAAGGAAGTTTTGGCAGCTTTCAGCTCCCTTGCAAAGGAAATATGCACTTACAATTAAAGAGAAATAAAGACATTAAAAACACTATTGCAAAGATTAGGCACTGAAAGTTTTTGCTAACAAGCTCTTCCACTTCCCATTCACATTATGTTACTATGATCGGTCAATTTATAGCTCTGTATCGAAGATGTGACATAACTTGTTGTTCCAATCAAATTTAATTTCCTTGTAGATTTTTCCTAATGTCAAACAGAATTTACAAATTTTGGCATTTGTTCAGTGGCAGGGGAAAATGCATAATCCCATCATCACAGGACAAAGACAAGAACATCTGTTGCTGTCATGACTAGATCGTATTTGAGTTCAATAGCAGGGAAAGTTGCTGCCTCAGAGAGGAAAATTCACAGCAGGAACTACACAGGTTCAAGGGAAATTAATGGGCAGACAAGAAGGTAATTTGCACAAAATCGTATCTTAATACCTTATGACCACTTTCACGTTCCTCATATGAGAACCTCAGCTACGTGCATTACTTCCTTCTCCCACAATCTACCACGCACTCCCTCACCTGGGACTCTACTTCCATGATCCCAAGCACACTTCTTACTTCTGTGAAACTGGGACTTCAGTCCAATCTCTTATCCTGCCTCACTAATGGTGTGTTCCTTACAATTCCCCTGTTCGCTCACTCAGAAACCGAAGTGAACGTCTCCTTGCTGGTGGAGTTCCTGCACCACGTGCTGAATCGGGACCACAACTGCACAGCTGTGGAAGGGACCATACCCCACCTGCCAGGCAGGCACTCGTAAGTACAGGGCCGCCCTTGGTCTAGAATAGTTGAGAAATTACTGAAAAATATGGAATAATTTTATACTTTTATAATAATTTCCTTAAAGCCACCTTCCTAGGTAAGGATGATGATGCTGTACAGGAAAAGACAAGATGAGATCATGCAATGACAGTGCAAGTTCAAAGTGTGAAACTGCAGCACGAACGCGTGGCAAGTGGAAACACTGTAGAGACTTCACTGAGACTTGCACTGGAACTTTGCTCCTACCTGCTGTCTACATTCATGTGTATGTGAAAGACAGCGGACAACAACTCGCTGGGCAGAGGACCCAGCACAAAGCCAGGGAAAGCCTGCCTGCTACTTTCGCTTCCATCTTTGCCTCCTTCCTTCCTTCCACTGCTGCAGACACAAGGAAAGCTACTGAGAGCAAGCCGTACCTTCACCCAACTCTCGGGTGGCTGTATGAAGTCAGCTTTCAGATGTAGCTCTTGCACCCCTAGTTGCACAGATCATAGGTGCCTCTGAGCTGGAGTAAGCAGCCGTACAAAGATATTTACAGCTGGCTGGTGGCAACTGCCCGACGGCTCAGATTAGCACCTCCAGAAGGGCAGGATCTGAAGCTGCTTCTGTGAGATCCTTCTGAGGGACTGGCGTATCACCTGAAGTAAGAGTGCCAGAGTTGGGAAAACCACTGATACAGAGAAATAATTTTTAAAATACGTGTGTAAAATCCTGTTATCACGTGATACTGAATGAAACAACCCACAACACAAACATGACCAAAAATTACACTCTGCAACTTCATGATGTTGTTCTCGGTCCATTTAAATGTGAAACCTCTCTTACATACATTTTGCATTCAATCCTAGCCTTGAGCACTTGTAAAGCAGGTTGTCCAGAGGAGCTCACACTGCAGCCAAACACAGGCCTCAAACCAAGTATCTAAATTCAGTGAGTTACAAAAGAATTTCAAACATATATCAGGCAGTATGTATCAGGTGAATCAATGCCTTTTTTCTTATGGTAGGACTAAAATTACAAAAATAACGAAATCTCTCTTAACTACCATTTCACTCGAGTAAGTTAATCTCAGGCATTTGCTCATCACTTTTCTCATTTGAGGAGTGAGTTATTCTCCAAACTCCAAAGCCCCTTTTAGCCAAAGAGGGAGCTGAGGCATCAACCAAAATGAGTTTGAAGGTTTCAGCACAGCCTGCAGCAGATCCCTACCCAGCGTGATGTTGCTGACTGCCCTTGGCTGCGAGAAATGGAACAAAACCAGCAGGCACTGCAGCCAGTCAGGACTGGCATGTGAGCATAAGATAACTTCGTTAAGTGTGTTTATAAGCTACCTACCAATTTTAAACCGCAATGCTTACTGAAAGAACTAATTTAGACTGTCTTCTCTGAGGAGCTTTATTTTATTTGTACTGTTTGCTGCATCTTAATCTTTTGTATTCTATAAAAGAAAGTGCATAAAAGCTTAAGATACACCTATGTCCCAGCAATATTGTTCCTCTCAAAGTCTGTTTTAATTACTAGAGTGTGCCCATAATTTTAAAACCACACAGGACAGCGTATTCCTGGCTTTATACTCTTGGGACAAAAGACCTCCTTCTTCCCAAAAGAGTAAGAGTATGTTCGTAACACCTTTCCAAGGAGTATTGATTTGTTATATCCAAACAGAAGCTTTTACAAAGGTGACGACAAAAAGTTATTTTTAGGAATCTTCCCTTTTGGAAACCTGCTATTTTATTAAAACTACGCTGATGTTTCTTCGCACATCTGCTGATCTATGCAGATACTTAAGGCTGTGCACACAAAGAGTGTCTACCTGACCAAGATGCACAGAAATTATATGCGATATTTGGGTGGTTAAATTTCTCTCCCAACTGTTAGCTCAGTGTGTGTCTACCTATGCATTTATAGCATTTACCACTGCTCATGGTCCTTGGCTTCTGTACCATGGTAGCAGGAAAACAAATCCCAGAGACACAATCTAGCTTTTAGAAAAGTTTCGGAGACCTCTAGCATGACTTTAACACTTCCTCCAGGTCAGGACTGAAGTCATGTAGTCAGTGAAAGGTAGAGGTGTAAAACACACATGGAAGATTTCTGCTCTTCGTTCTCTCAACAACATAACTTTCAGAGATACAAAAATTCAAGGGGAAGGAAGGTCAAAACCAAGAGAAAGATTCCATACCTTTTACATAGGCCATCTTGGAATAATTCTTGACAAATAACAGGTGTTGGAAAATTACTGTTCCTGGTTTAAACCAGACAACGTACAACAGCACATACCTTGATTGTGGCTCTAGGGCTGGAAGATTACCTTTTCAAATTGCTTGCTTTCTACTCCCTAGACTGGTCTCCACTATAGTGTAACATATAGGGCACCATGTCGCTCTTCCCATTCCTTCCATTTACATATTCCCTTGAAAACAATCCGTTGAGTGGATATAGCCATAAAACAGACAGCAGCAGGAAATCAGGTGTTCGGATGCAATAAAGCTTCCCCAGCTTTCTAAAGCCCTGTATATAATCATCAGATGTGGGAGGTGTGAAAAAGTATGGTCACAGGGTAAGTGGTGGTGAATAGACAACTCTACATAATGATGCTTCCATACCATTTATCTGTCTACGTTATTTACATATCTCTGCAATTTCGCTATCATGGGGAATGCATCAGTAAGTAGAGCTACTCCTCCTTCTTGACCAACAAAAGGCTAGGGAGGTGTGTGACTGTCTTCTGCGAATGTATGGGCACTTTACTGATCAGTCTACACACTTGAGTATGGAGGAAATAGCAGCTAGCAACTGGTGTCTCCTTTTTGCCAGACGTGCACAGGAGCCTACACATACAGTGTTGGCCATCTGACAGTTGGTTTCTGTTCCTGCCCATTTGCTTTCCAAAGAGACTGAATCCCTGTCACGCTTGTGGTCTATGCTGGCCACTGTCTTCTTGAGAGTCTTTTCTATATCAGCAGCTTTCACCACTGCCCTGACATATTTTTGAACAATGGCAAATTATTTAATCGTCTATTCTCAGTGCAGGGCTGAAAAATGTTGGTGTATGTTGAGGGGTTCTGTTTTTTCTTTATACAGAGTATATCAGATAACAGTGCTTTCACCTTGCCCTTGGACAGAATAAGATTATGTAAATATTTAGCACTGAAAGACAAACGGTAATGTCAAATTAACAAATTGTTGTACTACAGTGGCACTGGAAGAAGCCCAAGTTCCATCTATCCGTCTGCAGCATCAGCAGCAGGGAAAACAGACTTTCAAGGCTATCTGGGCAACAGCACAGGGAAGCGTTAAATACATAGTACAACTTAATGTCTTGGCTGGACAATGTGATACCAAAGCCTTTTTTCCAACAGTCTTTTGTCCTTACTCTCTGTTTTAGTGGCTACAGTTTGAGAACTACAAATAGAATAGGGTGGAGGCAAAAGGGAATAATCCAAGTGTCAGGCAGTCTTACCTGTGAATAAAAAAGAGAAAAGGAAAAAAAAAGACTTCAAAGTAGAAACAGGTTACTAGACCTTGAACCACAGCTGTTAGGAGAACTATTACACGTCTGTCAAGTAGCAATTAGACCACTTTGCAAGAATATTAAAAGCATGTATCTTCACTTCTGAGAAGGATCTGAAAAGGGGAAATCAGAGAAAACTTCTAGCTTATGGAGTACTCTCTACTGCACTCCAGTTACCTATTTCCTGTTTATTTCCCACTTGAAAAATCTCATCCCAGAAACATAATGTAATTTTTAAAAACTTGCATTTATGACCATTCCATTTAAACTGTTTTGTTGAAAAAATACAAAAAACAAATGGAATGCTGTAAACAGATTTAAGTCAGCCACAAAAAACATTCTGACAGATGTTAGCATCTGTGAACATGGATCTTTCACGACAGTCCTTTCCAATCTGGGCTCTTTTCAAGTAAGAAGACCTCTAGGGTTTTGTTGTTGTTGTTGTTGTGTATTTCAATACGCTTTATGAAATTTAAGCTAGGTTTTCCATACCAGAAGGGTGACTTTTCAATATATTAGTCCACCTACTTGGAATGCCAGTTGCAGCACTTGACAACTTTTAGTTCTGCATGCTGCCAGACAGGTTAACCCATTGACTAGATTTGGGTTAAGATAAACAGCAAAGATCATTAGATGAAGAAAAAGAGGAAAAAAAGTCAATCCAACTTTGAAACGAATTAGTTTTACAGGATTACCACTTGCCAATAAAACTGTTTTACACAGAATTACGTAGGAACAGACGACTCAGAAACTTGCAACAACTTGCTAGAGCATAATGAATCACAGCAACTGACATCATGTTTCTGGGGGCCTGCTCAGAAAGAGAAATGTGACTTTCCCCATGCTTCTATTCCTTCCAGCCACTCAAACAAATCCTTGGCTCTTCCAAATATTTTGCTCCCCAAGGGTCCTGCATGCATGGTAGCTGGCCTTCCCACTTCTCTAAGATCTGGCAATTTGAAAACAAAACAAAGAGCAAAATCGAAAGAACTATTGATGACTAGTGGACGGAAGCAAATCACATTATTTTTTAAAGTAAATGTACTGCCTTTCTTTTGTTCTTGGAATAGAAAGTTACAGCAGACTAGAGTGCTAAGGTTCAGGTGGGAAGTAGGTCAAAACATACGCCAAGAGAAGCGAATGGAAAATTTCTTCAGTCACTCACAAAGCGTTTGAAATGTGGATTCACAGCTATAGCTAGCATTGTTTTATATTAGCAGTGGTTAGCTTTTCCTTCTTAACAGACAACACCCTTTTCTGTCCAGCCTCCTCACCCAAATCTTTCAGGCGCTCTGACCAGTTTAACTGCCTAATAGTCTTAAAAATGCATCTATTTTAGTTTCACCAACTACCACACAACCAGCCCTGTCCTTTAAGGCACAAAACTGACCAGCTTTATTTTTTACTGAACTCACGTGGCCCACTCAAAACAAACAGATACTGGCAAGAGCAAAATCCAAATTATACACTGCTTTATCCCAGGAACACAAAGTACAAGGCCGACGCAGTGACTCAGACACCTCAGCGCCAGCGAGATCCTCAGGTTGACAGGAGTCTCTTTGGGATCCTCGTATGTGCAAGCCAGGCCTTCTTCAAAAAGGGCCAAAATAATCGAGTTTAGACAAACATGTGTTGTGTCATTTGCAAAAGGATCTCTCTCATCAGAGGGGAAACGGCAGCAAAAAGTATGTCAGGAATGCTGGAGAGGGGCAGACAGTCACGGCGAGTCATATTTTCTTCTTTTTTTCTTTTTTTTTTTCCCCATGAAACTACTTCAGCATGAAAAGTCCATTTGCGAGAGCCGTTAATTACATCGGGAAAAGGCAAATTATTCGACAATGCAGGGAACGTGGGACCAATTTACGTACAGCAGAAGCAAGCGAACTTTTCAGTCTCTGTAACGATTTCTCAGCGTCCTCAGAAAATGGTTTAGATAGTTCAGATAAAGACTTAAACCCATCAGACATTTGCATTTGCCTACCAGTAAAAGGCCGTTATTCTATATATGTGCATTTATGAACAATAAAAGCTAGATGCATATAGGCATTACCATAATTGCTGTGCTTCAATCGTGCTAGTTTTAACCAACCAAATTAATCAATTTCCTTACAATGAAAATAGAGGTTTCTCCCACAATTTGCCAGTTTCTTTCTAGCAACTGGATGCCTTGAACAAAATGCATCATGTCCCCTGCTCCACATATAATTTCATGCCTCTTTTCATGTTACTGTGTTTTTATGCTTCCCTGTGGGCAACACCATTTAGGTTAATGTGGAGTGCTACAAAAGAAGATACACAATAAAACAGCCCATCTAAAATACAAATCAATTAACTATATCAATTAACATCTACCTTGATATCTAATTAGAAACTTTTGTTTATGAAACCACGAACTATCGAACTCATCTTGCCTCATAAAACACAAACCCCAGTTTTACTTCACAGAAAGGAGTTTACAAAGGAAAAACAAAGAGGAGGTTTTTTAATTACAAATGAATGAGCCATCAGTTTGTTCAAAGGACTGCCAGAGGGTGTTGGACCCTTTTGCTCACTATCAGGTGACAGACACAGACATTTTTGATAGAGGAGAAAAGCCTCATGTGGATGCTTATCAGCCATGGAAATAGCAGCTGATAAAGCACTATGAGGTGTTTTCCACTCCTCAGTCTTTAAAAGAAGTGTTCCTCCTCTTCTTTGTAAAAGAGAAAGTGGGTTGATTTACCTCTTCAGGATCTGATAGCTGGAACAACAACAACCAAGCTCTTTTTTGAGCAGGGACATCTACAAAATTTGAGGAACTTCCAAGAGGCCAGTTTAACAACAGCATGTGAGAATACCCAGCTACAGCACGTACTCAGAAGCAATGGAACCTCATTTTTTATTTTATTTGTATTTCAAGTTTGACATAAGAAATGCAATCTGACATTTCTGTTCTCTTTCATCCCATTCCTCTGAAGGGTGTGGGCTTGGGCAGGTTAACTACCTCAAATTGTGTGATCCCAAGTTAAGTATACTTTTGGTTAAAAGTTGGAAAGGAAATACGGAGAGTGTGTATTATCATTGAACTCTGCTAGAATTGATGGTGTTAAAATTCAGCCTGAAAAACAGATTACCAGCCGGCCTGACTTTTGATCAAACATAGACCTCTGGAAGAAAATCTATGTGGAGGAATACTGTCCTCAAAACCACATATTGATGTGCAGCTGGTAAAGTATTTTTCCCCTCACTTTTTAAAAAATATATATTGTAGTAAGAATGAATTAAATATAAAGCAATGAGTTCACACAAGATGTACGGATTACTTTTTAAAAAATAATGCAAGTTAAGGTCAATATAACTATTATATGTAAAGGAGCTTTTAAAAAATATTGGGGACAAGGCTGTTGATAATTACTTTTCTGTGGGTGATGTCTGAGCTTACATTTTAGGAAAGAACAATCTTCCTAAATTCCTCCTGGAGGAATTTTATTGATCAATGAGTGCTGTAAATTATCCAGTGGCCTACAAGGTGAGCATGCTACTACCACCAGCAGGGTGGCTTAGAGGAACTCAAATTGTTCAAACTTTTGAAGAATCCCTTCAAAGCCTATTGCAAATTACATCTGGAGATTTCTCAATGGGACCTTTTAAACTAATTGCACATCTCCATTCAGGTCCTAAATTCTGTAGGAAAACAGATCTTCTAATGTCCTGAAAGGCTGAACTTAGAAGCTTTATATAAGCTTTGCCACTGTAACTCACTTTAATAAGTTTCCTGAGCGAAAACAAAATCAAATGTCTCTTACCTTTTAAAATTTTAAGCCAGCATGAACCAAAAGTTAGTGCAAAACCAAAGGAAGGAAATTCAATAATTCAATCAGACCTAGAGTTGCTGAGAAAGACTTTGAAATCAGTCTTTGGTCTCAAACCTTGAGGATCATAAAAGGAGACGGAAAGGATTCAATAGTTCAGTGCTGGTCAGAAGGGAAAACTCTGTCTGACATATCTTTTGCATGTAAGAAAACAAGGACCCATTCTTGACTCCCTACACTGAAAACAGACCAGCATTAGGATGCAAAGACTAAAATGGTAGAGGCTAAACCCACTGGTTTAAAGCTGTATGCTCCATGGGTTTTGCATATAAGATTTATGCATTGGTGTCAATCTTTTGACACTAGACCACTTTTTACTGCAAAGGAGCTAAACTGCTGTGACCTCCAGATTTCCAGAAGTTAGCAGGAGCTTTTTCCAGTGGCTTCACAATGGAAGTTTGCATGTATACACCTATGTTTTCTTAATGGCACCGGTGCAAAATCGTCATTTTAGAAAAGCCTTTTGTTTCTCTATCTCTCTCTGTATTTCTCTTCTGTTTCAAAAGACCACTCTATGAGCATAACTTACTAGTAAAGCATACTGGAGACTGCAATAGGTAAATGGGAAGTAACAGTTATTCTGTGAAACTCAAGGACCAGCATAAGATGTCGATCATCATCACTGGTTTTAAATTAACTTTCCATTATTTCATTTTCAATCTTCCTGTCATCTGTTGATGGAACACATGAACTATAAAGACATCCTTCCCTCCTCTGGGCAGGACTACTTCTACGTCACACTATACCTATTAAAAAACTACACCACTTCCATCAAGACCCTTGTGCCTTGCTGAGCGTGCTATTCCCTGCGAGCTGACAACTACGAATGACGTTTCTGAACTCCCTCCTCTTCAGTTTCTCATATATCACAGCCTCAACAGGAAAGTTCCCGCGCATCTTATTACTCACCTAACGTTTGGTGGATCTGAATTTATGATGGGTGTTGCACCAAGAGGCTTGTTTCCTTGAACGTGGCTTCTGTAACCTTCTCTTGCAGGCAAACAGTACACCCTTTGGATAACGACTCGTACCTGTGCTTCTCTCCATCCCACTGCTCCCTGGCTTTCCACCATTTCAAGCAGAGAATCATTAACAGCGCTCCGTCCTAAGGGATGCTGTTTTGAATCACAGTTGTTACGGATCCGTGAGGCACAAGCAACCTGGTGAAGGAAAACCCATTAATAGAAGCATTTAACAGGACCTTCAGACTATGTAGGGCTAAAGAGTAAAAATTCAGCATGAAAAATCACTTCAAGAAATGCCAAATCAGTTTCAAAATACTTACTGCACCCAAACTAAATGACAGACTAAGGGCAGTATTTCTTGTGGATTTTAATGAACACTCAAGAAACTTGAGCACACAGTGCTCTTCTTTATTTAAATAAACAGAGCTCTGGTCTGAGCTAACTCAATCCATTGCGTAAAAAACAGAATTGCTCTTAGTATTTATGATTCTTCCTCTTGAATTGAGTTTAATTTTTACTTCTTTGATGTTTTGTTCCTTCCTCTTTTAAAAAAGGGGTACAATCCATCCTGAATGCTTTTGTACTTTCAGATTAAATTGAAAATGAACAGGTGTCCAGTTTTTATGGAACAGTAAATTAGTTCTCAGGCTTATACATCTCAATATAAAATGTTTCAATGTAAAATAATTAGGTGATTAATGAAAAGTGTAAAACTTTTACATTACAAACCTTTGTTCTTTCACTACTACTTTCAAAACATATTTTATGAACAAAATCTTCCAAACTTTCAAAATAAATTTTATGAACAAAATTGTGCTACGTTTTGCCTTAATCTAAATTACTAATTTAATTAATTTTAAAATACGATTTAAAATAAGATCTTAGTAAATAAAATAAAATAAAATCTTAGTAAAAATTGTATGCAAGTATAGACTAACATGGTCTCTATATACAGGCTCCTTCCCAGCTTGAGCCAATTTCTGTTTTCACAATGAAACCTGTTTTTATAAAAACTTGGGTGCCGAGGAAGGTTTTCAGAGTATTAAAGACTGTGCCATAAGTATTATCCACCAGCAGAGAAGGAGAACTTGCAGTATTTAAAAGAAAATTGTGGTACGACACTACCCTTTATCTACAAAGCAGTTGCATTAAAATTCGTCTACTGAGTTTTAAACAAAGTGGTTTTATTTGTTAGGAACCATGAGGGAAACAAGTAAATTGTTCTGGTTTTCGAATACCACAGTAGAAACTTTTTACAAGGTAGAGTTGAAGCAAGAAAGATTAGGATTTGATTTATCTAACTTTTTAATTCCCAGGCCTATAATGGGAATTATATATTAAGGCAAATACAAAATGCTGACACTCGGTCTTGTTCATCAAACTTGTATGGCCAAACTCCTCAAATATTAAGAGTGATTTTGGGTGGCCAAGATAAGGCCTTTACAAGAGCCTTACTTTCAGAAAGTGCTGGCACAGACTATCAGAACACCAGATTCCTTAAAATACCTCAGCTTGTACAACCACAGCTAGAGACATGCACAGTCAGTAGTCATTTTAATACAAACAAAGTCAAAATAGGAAAGAAAACAAATGGAAGGGGTGGGAAAGGGGTGTGGTGTTACCAATTGATGCTTTAAAGAAAGGAGAGGATCGATTAGGAAATGAGTTAAGAAATAGGAGTGGGAAAAGGGAACATGTATTTAAAATATCTTGAGTGAGTTAGCAGAAAACAGATTTTATTTCAAATAAAGCTTAGATATTCAGCTATAAAGAATAAGAGAAAAATCAATGAAAAACCAAGCTACAATTACTATTTAGCACAGTAGTAAGACTTCAGCAAAATAACCTCACAGCAGTTCAGCATCTGGATGGGCCAAAAGCCTCTGCTAAGAAAATATTATTAAAATAAACACCGTATACTATTCAGCCTTGGCTAAATGAAAGTGGAAACTGAACAGGTCAGTCATTTAGAACTTTTGGTTTTGTTATGATTTCCAAACATCTGCTCACCAACTTCTTACCAAGTGCTAAACTGTGAACCAAATGGACCTTACCTGATTATCTGAAGACTCCTGGTGTAATTCATCATCAAGGTCATCTAGTCTGAACGTCTGTGCCAAAGATATAATATTCTTCCTAATAAGCATCTTCGTAAGACCATATGTCTTCTCTCTTGTTTCAGAAGGTTCACTGAGTAGCACCTTCTGACTAAAATACGTATTCATGATTACAGGAACATCTGCATTTTTGAGAAGTAGTTTTTGCCTGGAAAAAATTAATTTAAGTGGCATCAAATCCATTACAAGTTAAACTACTGATAAGCACTGTTTTAAAATGTGTGTTGTATTGTGTTTCTCTCCCCTTTTCTCTATAGTCACCACTAAAACACTCAAAGGTGCTTTATTCAAATTGCAAATAAACCACCCCATAGATACGTTCAGTTTGGATCAGCCCTATTAGCTCAGGCATAGCCCTGGGCGAGTGGAGCTCCGCTGCATCCAGGGACAACTCACACCTGAGAGCTGGCTGAGCTGATGAGCCCCATGAAGCCCATCTGGCTTCATACAAGTTCTACCTGGTGTTTCTGCACTGTTAGTGCAGAACCAAGAGCACCAGGAACCCCTGCATACAGTTACCAAGGTAAAAGCCATGAATGAAAGATTATTAATCCTGCACTGTGTTAATTCAAAACGGTAGCTCTGCTGGACCCAGCCCGGCTCTTGCAGAGCAGGATGTCTCTCTCTGCTGAGTGCTTCCCACCAACCCAAATGTATTCCCGCTGCAGCCAGCTGCGAGCTATTCCTTCCACTTTCTCCTCTCTTTTTCTAAAACCAAAATCTTACACTTTTCCTATGATATGCCACGTATTATTTTGCCTGTATGTTCACTGCTGTCATAAACGTGCTCTTCAAGACCCAGTTTTGGTTTCTAGTGACAACGTGGATTCCCGAACAGCTTCACATACAGCAATTTCTGGCCTGGCAATTTCTAGCAGATTAAGATAATGGTTGCAGGATCTCTAAGCAACTCAGTATCCTAATGCCAAAGCATGTCTCGACGTTGGGATTTTTTCATATGCTACTATCACAACCATACATTTAGAAATATGCTTTTTATACTCACAGTATACAAACCTAATGAAGTCAGCTAACAAAACCAATCAGTAATATCATTTTCTAGAGACCATCAAAACAGAAACAAAATTCACTTAATGACTTTATTGCAGGCTGTGTTTTTCTACTGTTGGATTTGTATCGCTTGGGAGTAAAACAAGGCGTCCTGCCTTGGCAGCAAAGCTGAGATGACCTGAGTTCAGAAGTAACTTCAGGACTTCAGCCTTTAGACTACTCAACAGTCGCATTATGGAGATGAAGCAAGTTTTCACATCTATGACATTATTTGTCAAAATGCCACCATACAAAGTTAAAAAAAACCCAACCCAAACCAAACCAAACCTCACTCAAAAATACTGATTCCTGATCTCAATCGATAATACTTATTTCTGATCTCAGACCACACAAGATCTTGACCATGGTCAGTTTTATAACAGACTCCTTCATTCTCTACAGAGTAGATAGCTAAATGAAAATTAATACATACATATTTTCAAAAGAATAGGAACAGTTGCATCAAGTTGTTAAATACAATCCCCAATTTTTTGTAATTAGAAAAAGAATGCAACTGGAAAATGATCTCTGCCTTTTAGAAAAAAGGATACACTTAAAACTAAGCTTGCAACTTAAAAATATGAATCATAGACACAAATTAAAAAAAATATGTATTGCTAGTAAGTGTGAACACTCATAAAAGTTTTCATTTGAAATAGAAAATTTGTGAAAAGTTACAGCATAAAACCAAGCACTAAACTTCACTGTGACACCTTACTGCCATCTGGAAACTCTTCAGATCTAAGTGAGCAGTAATTCATCTCTAAGGGACACTCAGTTCCTTGACTGCAGGTGAATTTGCTAACAAAGGTCCCAGTTGAGAAAAGCACAACAGTAGCTCACAAGGCTGCCAAATTGACATTGCCTGATAATTTACTGCATTATGGGATTAAAACTGAGGAATTAGCTTAGCCAGCAAACCAAGACATCTCTGATCTTAGGAGATGTTTAAATTGTTATTACTTCCTGTTTTCTGAAGAACAAAAATGTATATAAAGTTTGCTACCGATTTCAGACCAGTCTGGGCTGCCTTTATATGCAGATGTGGAACGAAAATTTTAGCACCTACTTTCTTCAGACGTCTGTGTTCAGACTCAGAGTAAACAGGAAATCTCTCTCAACACGAGACTGTTACGTCACTAATGTCAGAAGAATGTTTGCTTGATCTAAATCATCTCATTCTCTAAAAAAAATACTGACGTTAGTAGCAAATCATTCGCAGGAACTCTGAGGTTTATGGGTTTATTTTTATTTTCCTGTGCAGATATGTGATCAGCTTTTTTTTTTTTTAAGGCAGGTAGGTTTTACTGATGCCCAAACTACGTGTACCATGGTTTTGCTATGCCTATGCATTCCATGCCTCGAGTACTTTTATAACCACCAAGAGCTTTCTCGGCTCATTTTTGATCATATCTTTACATGGGTAATGCATAAATTAATGGCTACTTGGCACTTCCTCAAAGCAAAAAAGGGACATACATACACTTTCAGGAGAAGCGCCCTGTCTCTTACCTGCAATTAGTTCACTAAAAACCTTTTCCTTAATGAATCACTTATTTGAGACCTGCATAGGTGTCCACAGACTTAGCGGTAACTCTTCAGCTAGGTCAGAGGAATAATCACAGGAGCCTATTTAAATCTTCCCTGTTTCTCAATGGACAGATTCCTCCCAATAGGAAATGAAAAGGACCAGCAATAAATAGAAATAACAACCAATTGAACAGAAATAAATAAGAAAAAAGTTTGTAATAAGCTCACTATTCTGTGTACAAGTGGATGGCTAAATGGAAATATATTTGTATATACATATAAATATATACACTATACTAAAAATAATGTATATTCTATATAGAATTTAGAGTAAAGATATATATTACACCCAACTTTTTAATATATATTCTTCAAAACGAAGAATAGAATTATTAATATAATATGAATTAATTGAATGAAAACTGTCCTTTTCCAGAAATTCTTCCTAGTATTGCTCAGCTCAAACAAGCTCTGCAGGATGGGAGTTTTGTTCATCATCATGGCAGAACATTCTGCATTGCCATTGTATATTGCTCATACTGTTCTCTTTACAGCAAAGGCAACCTTGTTAGAAACACCCCCCCCCGCTCCTAATTCTTATTGTCTGCTTGAAAGATACAGACGAGGGCAAAGAAAGCCTATCAAGCTGGAACAGTTAGAGGGAAAAAAATAAAAATCACTTCCCCAGCAATTCCTGCGGTCCTGAGCTGCATGTGTTCCCCCTGTGCCTGAGACACCATAACTGATCACCTCAACCTTCTGTATGTGTTCCTGTCGCAGATTCTCTATGGCCAGGAGTAGCCCTACTCTGCAGGATACAGAACACATTCTGTAGCATCCTCTTAACAGATGAAGTGTTAAATGAGCATTTCAAGACTCCTGTGACCTCTCTTAAATGTCTTTGTTTCTATCTGCTTCATTATATTTAAAAGTTTATTTTCAAAGAATGAGACATAATCTCATTCAGCAAATGACACAGAGGCAACGGAAAGAAAATAAAGTTCACTACAGACTTTAAAAAAACCCCACACCTCTCTTGTATTTTCTGATTTTCTTCTTGCTCAGTAAAGTATACTTAAATGTTGGATTAGCAGTCATTTTCCTTGATAACTGCCTTTAGGGGAAAGGTTGTTCGTAATGACCTGAAGTAGAGACTGTGAACTTTTTATACCACAGGGCATTTTTTTTCCTGGTATGCAGACAATCAGCAATTGCCGTAACTGGTCACATGCTAAAGGAACATGAGGCAATAACGTTATTTTTTTTTCTTTTCCAGCAGCAGCTTGCTTCTCTCTCCAAGGACGTTGCTTGCTTTTTCTCTTCCTCCCTCCTATGACGAAATGGCTATCTGGCAGAGTGGAAGCACGAGATGTCCTTGCCTACTTCCCCGTTAATCGCGGTCTGTCACCATTACAGATACGAAACACTGCAGAAACCTACAGCACGCCACGGTATAAAGTAGCTGAAGTTTCAGCACGAGGCAGGTCTTAATCCTGCTGCCGAACAGCCAGCAGGTCCGCACGGCGCAGCCCACCCGCGGGCTCAGCTGGTGAGAAGTTGCGACTACGGCAGCAGCGAGCTCACGGACCACACGCTTCCGCTCAGTTCTGCTGACATCAAACAGCGCTGCTGGTTCATGAACTCGAGGTGACTCTGGATCGCTTTAGATTAGAAAACATATTTTTTTGTTTGCTCTCCCTGGGTATTTTATTGGGCTTTTCTTTTCTTTTCTTTTACAAAGTGTAAAATGCCTAGAGCAGTTTTTGGAAGAGTACATTGCATTAACTGAACACTCTTAACATTTCGACAACCTACAATATGCACCGTGATTATGAAACAGGCTAATTTCAAGTCTCAGAACAATGATTTCTGCATAAAGAAGGTTCAACGCCCACCAAGTGGAACAGCAGTAGTACATGCAGGATAAGAGCATGCCAGAGCCTTACTCTGCTACCCAGAAGCATGAGGGATCATCCCCCATATGAACACCATAGAAGGCTCATCCCTAACTTCCTAGAAACTGCTTATTTTGTCCAATATAGAAGAAGTTACTCATGCTGCCTCTCGCTTGGGATTGAGTGCCATTTGCAGTGTTTTACCTGTGAAAAATTGTAACTTGTCTGAGAAATGTCCGAGCACCATAAGAATCATCGTAATTAAAAAAAAAAAATCAAGTCAAATTTCCCAAGTCCAGACAGATCTCTGCCCTCATACCATCCAAGGGCAATAACTATCTTCCCAATATGTAGCCCTAACAAAAAGCCATTTGGAACAGATCTGCCTTCTGCTATGCCTAGAGATTACCGAAACACAGAATTTTCATCCAGGAGTGAGCAATCTCACCACTCACATGTGAGCCTCCATCAGCATCATTTACCATTGCTTGAATGATCTGTATGAATAACTGTGTTTGCGAGCTCACACTTTCATAATGCAAAATTTCTTCCCCTGCCCCAACCTCAAAGACAGAAAAGAAAAATCAGCTGGTGTCTCTTTCTTTGAAATTATTTTATTCAAAGCAACAGATT